ATACTTTTTATGTATGCATACAATTTGGAAGTTCTAGCCCAAATTTGTTGTCATTGCGTTAGGAAACGTCTAAAAATAGTCTACTTTGGCTACTTAAGCAATACCAATAGATGACACGAGGTAGTAAGAATCCATTATAATGAGCTTAAATGTGCTTCCGACAAAGAACTAGGACTCTTGGGATACTCCCTTCTCATGGGCGGGGTTTCACCATGAGAAACATGAAAAAACAGTTGAATATGTATATTTGCTTAAGGAGTAAAGTTTGGAGTTTAAAACATGATTGTGCTCATTCACAAATTATTTCGTATCGGTGGGGACTAATGACATACCACACCCAACCACTAATTCCAAAGTTGACCCAACAAAGGCCCAAATTCTCAATGGCCCACTCCATTGAACCCACTTGCCAAACTCATGCATCGTTACTAGAGATGCACAAAAATCGATCCTGAACCGGTCCTGGATCGGTCCTAAGTCGATCTTTTTTTTTTATCGGTCTTTTTTTGGAGCGGTCTTTTTTAGACCGGTCCCGATCGGTCCTCGGTCGGTCCTTTTTCGGTCCCGTCCTTTTTTGGATCGGTCTTTTTATGGATCGGTCTTTTTTCGGATCGGTTTTGCTATAAACTAGTCTGATACCGGTCTTTTTCGGTTCGGTTTTGGTTTTTTGTTTTCGGTTCGGTCTCGGATTTTTTCGGGTTCGGTTTCGGTTTTTCTAGTTTTTTTATTTCACTTCAATTGTCTTATGATACATTTCATAACATTATAAATCATCATCCATCAAATACATATGTAATAATTCCAAGATTTCATAACTTCGACATATCATTAACATATAAACTTAAAAATTAAGTTCATAATATTACATAGAAAACAAAGAGACATTGGGTTCATAACATTGCATAAAAGACTTAGTAAATATAAATAAGTTCATAACATTAGTGATAATTTCTAAAACATAAATATATCATCAGAATGTCATATCCGGAGAGAAATTCCAAAAGTTGTAGTTGTCATCGGAATACGGAACCTCTTGGTCGGGGTTGGAGTAATCTTGGCCGAGAGTGATGTTAGATGATGTACTTGTAAAATTTGCATTGCGTGCTTCTTGAGTGTCGGCAATATCTTCATCAACGTCGGTGTTAGTGTATGATGACACTTCCGCACCTCTTTTTTCTATTTCATCTACCAAAATCTCGGTTTCATATGGGTTAACCCTTCTTCAAGATCCGCGCTATTTTGTGCTCTCTCCATTGAATCATAGTAGTCCTTTAGCATCACCGACATTTTCACCAATTCATCGGTTAACATACACCTTTGAGCACTTCATATCTTGCCACTAAGAGAAAAACAACATTCCAAAGCTACACTACTAGCTTGGACCGTTAGTACATCCCTAGCCATTTAGGCTAGGACTTTATATTGACCTAACCGTTCTCTATCTTCCCATCACTTTAAAACATCAAATTGTGAATATTGTTCATCGGTTATATTAGAAGCGTAATCAGAATCTTTATACATTGAAAGTTAATCTAAAGATGTTTGATTGTATCTTGGACGTTTTGATTGACTATCCCTAAACCATAAGGATCCGATACTCAAGGAACTAGGTGGCCTCATGATAGAGGTTGAAGAACTAGTTTGTTGAGTTGGTGGCCTCGGGGATAAAAGTTGACGAATTTCGAATTGCATATTCATTATCATATATCATATATAATTGTTTAATCGTGTCTTCAAAAACTGATATATTTTTAGTTATGTCAATATCATCTGATCCCAAAAGATTGCCGATACTAAGTATACTATCTGTTACACCTTTAAAATTCACATATGGATTTAGTGCTGAAGCGATCATAAAAATCGGTGGAAATTCTTCAAAATATTTTTCAAGCTTTTCCATCATTAGAGAAACAATTTTCTCCCATTGTGGATCCAACCCCTCAAAATCGGCTAATGTTTTTATTATTTGAGTAATACTAATCAAATAAACGTTAGATGTTGGACTATATGTTTGTGACAACATAAACGTTGCTTGATATAGTACTCCTAAAGCCGTATGTAACTCAAGGAGAAGAGTCCAATCCATCTCGGTAATATCCGCATTGGATTCATGGGGAATATGTTCTCTATGATATCCGCTTAATAAATCTTTTTGTTTTAATAAACGTTCAATCATTAAGTAAAGAGAGTTCCACCTAGTTGGCAAATCCACAACCATTTTTAAAGCTCTTTTTCCTTTCCTTTTGCAAAATTGTTTGTATTTTTGTTGTTCAATAGGCCCACTTCTAAAAATTGATGCATTTAGATCTCTAAATTTTGAAAGACGAGTTTCCATTACTGAAACACCATGTTGAAACGCCAAATTGAAAATATGACAACAACATCGCACATGATAAAATTTGCCATCACATATTGGATTTAAAGCTCGTTTCACTCGATTCATTGCATTAGTATTGTTACTAGCATTGTCGAGTGTTATAGAAAGTATTTTATCTTTTATACCAAAAGCGCTCATGATTCTAATTAAAATCTCATATATTTGTTCACCCCCATGTGGGTGAGGAAATTGTTCAAAAGCAAGAATTCGTTTATGCATAATCCATGTTTTTGGATCGATCCAATGTACCGTGATGCAAATAAATGATAGAGCGGTACCATGTGGAGCGGTCCAAATGTCGGTGGTTAAAGAGACTATTCCCAAGAAGCTCGTAAAGAATCTCTTTTAATCCTCGTGGATTTTTTTTTTTTAATTTGTTCATTGCATCACGTTTTATGGTTGTACGACTTACATGACAATAATCTGGTTTGTAGAGCTTTCTTGATTAATCTAATAACTCTCGGCCGAGAGAAAAAATCAAATGAAAGACTTTCTTGTATAACTAGTTGCATAGATAATTGGCGTGTTAGATCATTATCGTAATGCCAAGATACTCCATCATTATCAACTTGTGTTTGCGCAATTGCATTCTCATGTTTCTTTCTACATGAGATCTAATAATTTCAAAATAAACTACATTAGTACAATTAACGAAACAAAACCTAAGTTATTATACATAATTTAGTATAATTTATAATTAATAACTTGCATTGTCTTGGTTATATCGACTAGTATTAATCATAAACTAACCTAACTTAATCATAAGTTAAATTACTTCTAAATAAACGAAACAAATTAAAGTAAACTAATTAAACATAAGAAACTATTAAAGCGATAATAAAAAAATAAGAAAACTTACATCATATCGTTCTAGTGTTGCATTTGCACCGGCATAAACTTTTCCACACCGATAGCATCTACCGTATAATTTTTCTGTTGACGTAGTTGCGCAAAATTATTCCAAACAGGTGCGGTACGATTTTCTTTGCTAATTTCATCAAATGGTTGGTTCGGATCAAAACCGGAGCGACCAACGGGACGGGAACTACTTTCTTCGCTACCCGACATTATCCGGATGTGGAAACTTCAAGCTTTGTAGTGTAAATTTAGATACATTTTGAGTGAGGGATAGAATTTGAGGTGAGAAAAATAGTTGGATATGAATAAGTATTTATAGTGTAAAAAAAATCAGCAAATTAAAAATATTTATAGCCGTTGGCTTTTAAATCTAACCGTTGTAAACTTCTTAAAAAAGCAAATCAGTTTATATACAATCGCAATTATACTAGCTATTGTGGTTAGTAAGATCGATGAATTACTTACGGAATCTCAAATCTCTCTCGCTTCTTCAGCTTGTTCCTGTTCGTCTATTCGGGAGAGGGCGTTGAGTATTCTATTAATTAGTTATTATTATTATTATTATTATTATTATTATTAGAGTAAAAAAGAAAAAAACAAAGGAATTGAGTCAGGGAGTAGGGACGAATGGAGTTTGTGTTAGTCACTTTGTCCAACATCGCTTATATTAAAAAGGGATAATGATTTAGGAGGGTAACAACGTTTCATGTTTGTCCATTTTAAGTCCCTAACGTATTTTTTGTGCGTATTACACCATTAAGGTTACTATAACCGTTTATAAATAGTCCTTTTAACAGGAAGAAGCCGTTAAAAGGATTATTTATAAACGGTTATAACAACCTTAATAGTGTAATATACACAAAAAAATACGTTAGGGACCTAATATGGACAAACGGGAAACGTTATTACCCTCCTAAGTCATTATCCCATGAAACTATAAACCCTTATAGTAAATTTTTACTTTTTAAATAAGAAACTTGTAGGTCTTGAGGTTGGTAGTTTGGATGTTTTTAACCTCGATATTCTTTATAAATGGAAGTCGCGGTTTCTTAATGACAAGGGCACTCTTCGGGTTAAAAATGTCAAATTTTGTCATGGGGAAGGTGGTGGTTTTTCGGAAGATTCGAGAATAGGAATTAGAGGGGTGTTTGGCAAAAGATTGTAGGATCCATTAATCACCTCCATGAGAATGATTGTATTCCTTCTAATTACATGTATAGAGTGGTGGGAGGTGAGACTCAAACGAGGTTCTAGAAGGATGTTTGGTGCTTGGATATTCCTCTTAGGGAGCGGTTCAGGAGGCTCTTTGCTTTGACCTTTAATCAAGATGCTCGAGTAAGTGAATAATGGGATCCAGAGGGATGTAATTTTTATTGGCGTCGGGGGATTAGAGGAGGGGCCAATAAAAATTACATCCCTCCGGATCCCATTATTCACTTACTCGGGCATCTTGATTAAAGGCTAAAGCAAAGAGCCTCCCGAACCGCTCCCTAAGAGAAATATTCAAGCACCAAACATCCTTCTACAAGATAATCAAATTGGGTCGATTCAGCCCCTCCTCTAATCCCTCGACGCCAATGAAAATTACATCCCTCCGGATCCCATTATTCACTTACTCGAGCATCTTGATTAAAGGCCAAAGTAAAGAGCCTCCAGAACTGCTCCCTAAGAGGAATATCCAAGCACCAAACATCCTTCTAGAACCTCGTTTGAGTCTCACCCCCACCACTTTATACATGTAATTAGAAGGAATACAATCATTCTCATGGAGGTGATTAATGGATCATACAATCTTTTGCCAAACACCCCCTCCAATTCCTATTCTCGAATCTTCCGAAAAACCACCACCTTCCCCATGACAAATTTTGACAATTTTAACTCTAAGAGCTTCATTGTCATTAAGAAACCGCCACTTCCATTTATAAAGAAGATCGAGGTTAAAAACATCCAAACCACCAACCCCAAGACCTATAAGTTTCTTATTTAAAAAGTAAAAATTTATTATAGGGGTTTATAGTTTCATGGGATAATGACTTAGGAGGTAACAACGTTTCCCGTTTGTCCATATTAGACCCCCAACGTATTTTTTGTGTATATTACACCATTAAGTTTTTTATAACCGTTTTTAAATAATCCTTTTACCGGTTTCTTCCTGTTAAAAGAACTATTTATACACAGTTATAGTAACCTTAATGGTGTAATACGTACAAAAAATACGTTAGGGGCTTAAAATGGACAAACATGAAACGTTATTACACTCCTAAGTCATTATCCCTATTACAAAAGATAAGGAAGCTGGGAGCAATATAAAAAGGATGTAAGGGAAACTCTATTCGCATGAAAAAATTGAAACAAAACCTTAATTTTGGAGGCCACATATTTAATCGGGCTACCAAATGTTTTTCATTTTCTGGACCGATTTGACCGATTTGGATTGGGAGCTGTCCAAAAAATGGACTTGTTTATTTTTGGACCGGTTTAATTGTGGACTGGCTTAAGACTAGTCTGGACTTCCACGTATATCAATTTTAAGGACTGATTAAGGATTACGGTGTGGACTGTTAAAAGGACTGACCGGTCCAGGACTGGTTCAGTCCATATGCATCTTTTTTGGATTGGTTCTTTTGTCCACCTCTAATCGTTACTCGTTAGTTGGTTCCAAATAGCTTCGTTATCTCTATACATCATCAAATACATATATCTCAAATTGGGTCTATCCTAAAGTCAAAGAAAACGTTATTCAAAATAAAAATAACATATTCCAACGAATCTTGGTATAAAAGGTGTTCATACCCATAAATTCAAAAGAGAACTAAATCAAATATGTTATGCTCAAATATCGTAATCTATCTTCTCTTGTTTTCAATTGTTTGCTACTATGCACACCAATTTTATAATCGGAGTGTATTCAGGAATGTAGGAGTGTATTTTCACATTCAAATCTTGATATACGGCTAACCAATTCGTTTAAGTTAATACTGAAACTGAGATCAAAGGCATGTTGTACTCGTAGATACTTTACGGATCAAGGTATTATTGAGTCATAAATTATTATCCCGAACTTAGAATAAGTGATGTGAACAACTCGATTTAAAAGGCGGCATTGTGTAATGGTTGTAAAAGTATAAGGTAGTAATTGTAATATTGTGTAATTGCCGGCTCTGTAAAGCCCTAGACCATAGTGATTATCGCCAAAACAGAGCTTTGCTTGCACATCCGACCAAAACCCTCTCCCTTCGCATTTCGCTCCTCCACACCCCCAGAAACAGACGCAAAATCACCGGCGGCGATAACAACCACACACCTTCCCTTCCCTCCCCTTCACTGAAAACTCAAATCTTCCATCGACAACCTCGATTCATCATACATCTTCTGTTTCTACAACTTCAATTTGGTAAGTCGTAAGCATTCGCTATTCGTTATTATTGCTTCAGTAAAATGGTTATTGATTGTATGATATTCATGTGAAATGCGCGTTGCTTGCTTGAATTATATTTTCTTATGGTTTTTAGTTTTTTAGTTTCTGTCAGGTTTAGGGTTTATAGGTTTTGTCGAGTTTTAGGTCATGAAACTTTTTTCTTCAATCCAAGCTTAAAGCTGGTTAAATGGGCTCGTAATCACAAAGATAACCCTAGTTTTTCGTAATTAGGGTTTAAGTATATGGGATGGTGGTAAGAATTAATTGTTGGTTTATTAATTTTTGCAGAAGGATTATCTGGATGATCTGCATAAACCATCAAAAAGCTCTTCAATAGCTTCAGAAAATTCAAATTATCAAGGTCATCATTCATCAATGTTGCAGAATTTGAATTTCATCTCCGATCAATTGGACCCCACGTCACTTATCAGACATCGATCTCTCACATGTCCAGTCAAGACTCAATCAACAATCACTACTTCACAAAGATATCACCATTCCGTACAATGCAGAGGCATTTGCCTTGACAGAATCACTGATTCCGGAGTAGACTCATGGAAGAGGAATAGAATCAATGAAACCAATTTCACAGAAAGGCATTCAGAATCTTCAAATAGAATCTTCGTGAACAACAACGAGCAAACAAACAACGACCTCCTACAGAATCTATGCAAAAAATGGGAATTAATAAAAGCAGCAAGATTGGTAGCTGTAATGACCCGTAGAAACCAAATCCCACATTTTGATTCTTGCATAAAGTTAATCAGAGGCCTAATAAAGATCGATTATATAGATCGAGCTTCCGAGGTTCTAGAATCCATGGTTATGTCTGGTGGTGTTCCAGATATCATCACTTACAACATGCTAATCACTGGTTTATGCAAGAACAAACAAATAATTTCTGCTATTAATCTTCTAGAAAGTATGAGCTCATCTGGTTGCCCTCCAGATGTGATTAGCTACAATGCTATAATTCGAGTCATGCTTGAACATGGCTACATTCAGCAAGCTGTTTCATTTTGGAAAGATCAGTTATCAAAAGGGTGTCCTCCTTACACTAGTACAATCACTGTTCTTGTTGAGTTAGTGTGCAAATCACGTGGGGTTATAAGAGCTATTGAAATTTTACAAGATTTGTCAATCGATGGATGTTATCCTGATCTTGTGACATATAATGCTATGATTAATGTCACGAGTAAAAGAGGGGATTTTGGTGACACTATTTTGATTCTACATGATCTTTTATCTCATGGTATGAAGCCGAATACAGTCATGTATACGACTCTTCTCCATTCTTTTTTTAACCATGGTTACTTGGATGAGGTGGATGAGATTATTTCTCTCATGAATGAAGCTTCACAATCTCCAACTATGGTGACTTACAATATTTTGATAAGGGGTTTTTGTAAACACGGGTTTCTTGATCGTGCGATTGGCTTTTTCAATGAAATGGTTTCTTCTAATTATACCCCTGATATAATCACTTACAACACGCTTTTACGTGCGATTTGTGATGAAGGAATGACGGATGTGTCCCTGGAGATTTTGAACTGTTTGGGAGACAAAGACAGTAATACCCCTCCGAGTCTTGTAACTTACAACATTGTGATTGATGGATTGGCGAAAAGGGGTAATATGGAGAAAGCGGTTGATTTGTATCAGAAAATGATGAAGGAAAAGGATATTGTTCCTGATGATGTTACTCATAGATCCTTGATTTGGGGGTTTTGTCATGCTGATATGGTTGATGAAGCCATGGAGATTTTAAAGGTGATGGATAGAAAGAACCATAGGGCAACACATAGTACTTATAAGTATATTATTCATAAGCTATGTGAATGTAAGAAAGTAGAAGGGGCAATTCAGGTATTAAAAATGTTGGTCTCAAGCCCATACAAGCCGTATAGCGAAAAGTTTTATTCTGATATGCTTTCAGGTTTAGCTACAAATGGTATGAACAATGAAGCTAAAGAACTACATCAGAAACTGATCGAATGGAAAGCTGTTTAAATCTTTTTTTTTTTTTTTTTTTTTTTTGTTCTTCTGTTTTCAGTTTAGTAATGAAAAAAATATCAATGATAAATGGCATACCTTTGTAGACCATTTAGCTATATCTGTTTTCAGAATCCAGAAATGGGAAAGTCTTTTTCAACCTTGTAAATGATTCTTGTGAAATTACTTTCATTTGGAAAAGAGAATGACCCAAGTCAATAGCCTCTGCCCTTCTGCCTGAAAACCCGACCCCTTCCACCAATAAAATGTAAGATGTCTGATTTGGTTGACAACCCGTTTCCACCATTTCTTCCAACACATGAATAGCATCATCCATTCTATGAGCTTTACACAATCCAAGAAGTATGATATTATAAGTTATAACACTTGGCATAAATCCATTACTTTTCATACTTTCCAACAACCCAATCGCCTCATCCACCATTCCATCTCTACACAAACATGATATAAGAGCATTGTATGTGATCTCATCAGGGTTGATTCCTTTCATAATCATCTCAGAAACCATACTCAAAGCTTTCTCTCTTTCTTTATTGTTCCATAAAGCACTTATCATTGTGTTATAAGTGCTTACATCAGGCGGACACCCTGTTTCCCCTAATCTTTCAAAAATCTGCATGGCTTCATCTGCATTTCCATTTTTACACAAAGCTGATAACACTGTGTTGTAATTTACTATATCCGGCCAACATCCTGTTGATATCATGTAATCTAGAAAACCGATTGCTATATCAAGTCTGCCTTCTTTACAAAAAGCAGAAATCAAAGGGTCGAAAGTGAAAGCATCAGGAGTAAGCCCAGTTTCTACCATGATCTTTAACATATTCATAGCTTCATCTACCTTGCCATCCCTACATAAAGAGGTTATTAAAATGCTATAAGTAACAGCATTTAACTCGCAGTTTCTTGAGAACATTTCTTCCATTAATCTCTCTGCGTCACCCCATTTCCCTTGATTCAACAATGCTCGTAGTAGAATGTTGTAGGAGATGACATCTGGTTTACATCCTTTTGATGGTAAACTTCTTACGAATTCAAAAGCTTCATCCATCATTCCTTCTCTACATAGACCTCTGATGATTGCATTGTAAGTGTACATATCCGGTTGAAGACCTCTAGACAGCATTTCATCAAGAAGCTTCATCGCTTCAGTAATCCCACCGTCAAAAATGGTGGCCTCGATCAAAATTGTGTAAGTAATCACCGTAGGTTTACAGTTATCCTCCAGTAGCTTATCCAACATCTTCATAGCAAATCCAAGTTTCCCTCTACTACATAGACTCCCGATCAGAATATTGTAAGTAACCACGTCCGGTGAAAACCCTTGATTTCTCATCCGATCTAGCACTCTGTTGGCTGAATCGATTTGATTCAGCTTACAAAACCCGCTGATTACTGCATTATAGGCGAAAACGTCTGGTTCACCATGGGATTCGAGTATCTGGATCACTTTCACTGCTTTTTCGACCCGTTTTGTGTTGAAGAAGCCCTTAATGAGCTTCGTACAGAGGATAACGTCAGGTTTATAACCTTTGCCGACCATGAGCTCCAGAAAGTAGAGCGACTCATCGTATTTACCTGCTTTGCAGGACCTGTTGAGCAATTTCATGAAATGTGTTTCTTTGTACGTGTAGGATTGGAAATGGGCAGGCTTCGAAGTGGTAGTAAGTTTGACATTTGAAGAAGAGCTTCTACTGTTGTTGGGACTAGGGTTTGAGTTTGGGTTTCTACACGTTATAACAGAGTAATGATGGTGAGTAGTTGTTGTGTGTTTTGGGTGAGCGTTGAAGGGGAAGAATGTTGGTGAGAATTCTGCAGAAATCATTGCCTGACTTGATCCAAAGAGATTGAAATTCAGTAAAGTCTCATTGTCCAGAGAATGGAGAGAGAGAGAGAGAGAGAGAGACGGAATCTGTTATATGTGTGGCAGGATATGAAGATTTCTGATTTCATGACAATATCCGAGTTTATGGATAAGATGAGACCCATGTGTTGTACGGGTCGGGTCAAGTTTTACTCATGCTTCATTTGGCACAGCAATTAACGGTATAAAAAATAAAGAAAACTAAAAATAAAAAAGTAACCGTATAAAAAATAATAAAATAAAAGAAAATTTCATACAGTGATATAAAAGGTTAGAATGATTACTGCATTGTTTCAATCCTATTTTGGTCTCAATTTTTTTTCTTCTTTCTTAAACTTTTATTTATTTGTTTATAGTTTTAGGTTGGTGGTTACACAAAAGGTCCTTAAACTTAATTTTTTGTTTTCTTTTAATCTTTTTTTTTTTGAAGAGCTTAAATTTCATTTATAATATGTTGGCAAAATCTAACAAAAAAAGGATTACAAAACTGAAGACATAATTGAGTTTTTTACCCACGAAACCCGGTTATTTTAAAGTTTAAAGTTCCTATTCACAAACAACTTCAACATCGAATCGTATCCATCCAAGAAATGAAATCTTCTATGGCATCAATAATTAATATCAAGAAATGAAATCTTCTATGGCATCACTAACTAATCTATGACTAATTACCTAAGGATGACCCATGTCAATATACATACATGTACATACACATACAAATACAATTACACTACAAACACATAAATATACATGCATGAATATACATACACATACATGCATGTTTATTCATGCATGTACAAGTACACAATATATGCATACATATACACTTACACATGTATATCATACACATACTCACATGTATACGTAATAGCAGAGGGATCACATGGGCACGCCGACACTACATCCCCACGTCATATAAAAATTGTTCTTAGGGTTACAAAGATATAGCGATAGATATACTTAGACTGTCCGGTATGCTCCTCACGAACACGTTTGTGGTCTCTGTGGCCACGAACCATGACCGTGCACACCATCCCAATGTGTTGTTGTGGGTCGTGGTCATGGTGGTTCGTGTTGCCAAGAACGAGCAAAAATGACCAATTAAATGCATTTAGTCTTCTGACTCTTTTAACTGTTAGGTTGAAAACTACAACACCTTATATTTCACACAATCATTCTCTCTTTTTATTCACATTCATAGATTTGTGTTGCTTGATCTTTCAAAAACCATGGCTCCTAGAAGGATTAATTGGTCGGAAGAGGAAGAAGATAACTTAGCACAAGTGTGGGTGTCGGGTTCGGAAGAGAGAGATACCCAAATGGTTAGAGATTTTTAGGGAAAAGTTCAAAGCATTTTCTATGGATTAATGGGTTTTCCAAGTCGAAATCTTGATGACATATGTTCGAAATGGCACGATATGAAGGTTAAATGTTGCGAGTTCGATGGAATTTACAACTTCGTTTTAAACGATGTACACGAATGCGATATTGATCCGGTTAATGTGGTCATAGATCAATACGAAAACACAAACAACAGACGTTTTGCACATCTCAAAGCATGGCAAAAATTAAAGAATTTCTCAAAATGAAAAAACATTGTTTAAAAAAATATGGTCAAGAGTAGTTGTTTTTGTTTGCATTTTTTATGTTTTTTTCTATTTTATTTTGAAGTTGTTGTTTTTTTTTAAATTAATGTAATGTCTTTTTTATTGAATAAAAAAAACTAATTTAAAAAACTATATATATATATATATATATATATATATATATATATATATATATGTGTTTATTGTAATTTTGAATTAAATTTAATTAAAAAATGATGTGAAGATGTATGGTAGAGATATGTATCACATGGTATTAGTGGTAGATGATGGTTATCAGGTGGCACCAAGTGCTATAGTTATTAGTAGTGAATAAAGTGCTATAGTTATTAGTAGTGAATATTATGGATGACCTTAACTATATTAATATCTTTGGTGAGGTTTTTAGAAATAGTTGAATGACGATCCAACCAATTTCAACCCACAACCACAACCAACATTATAAACAATATGTAGCCTTTGAAAAACCAATTTTCATCAAAAGTGTCGATCCTAACGATATCAAACCAAACTAATTCATTTTTATTAGTTGAAGAACATTTATATATGTAAAAGAATTCATTAATACCCACTCCATCTCGTTTAATTGGCCCACATACAACCCAAAACCCACCATATCACCTTAATTAACTAAATCGGCAATCTCCAAACCCCGTAATTAAGAATCTTGTTGTTCTAAAATCTAAACCGGTGTGAGTTTTTCAATTCACCTTTCAAATTTAAAGACCATTACTTCGAATATAAAATACTGTATATTTTAACATCCTATTTACGAATATAGATGATATATTGAATCTATAATTTTGTATGGATTACAACAAATATTATTTATAATAACTAATCACCATCCAAAGTCTAAAAAAAATGATATCACCATGTCATACTCTGGTTTTTGTGAGTATAAGATCCAAAAGGAAAGCCTTCTCAGGGCATACCTCATTCACCACTTGTTCCACTTCTTCTCCTACCTTCTCCACTACTACACTCCTCCTCCTCACACCTTCGTTTTCATCCATTTCCTATACACATTAATTACACAACAAACACATATACAGAGTTAAACAAAAACAAGACTTTCATAAATTTGAACGAAATTTAGTACTTACCTTGATCAACCACATTATATAAGTAGCAGCAAACATTGCTTGTGCTTTATAATCCTCAAAAACATTATCCGGGATCGTTTTACAACATCGAAAAAGTTTTATTTCGTTTTCCACAAATAAATCCAAACGGGTCCCACTATGACCCGCAAAATGCTTTATCCAGGACACTGACAAGAAACGCCGGTAAAGCCATAATGCCTGTATCACATCACATAATAAATACTACACTTAAAACTTCACCCAATCACAAATATAAGATTAATAATAATAATAATAATAAACAAATCCACATACCTCTCTACCTATGTAACGCTTGATTAATATCTCACTCCATATGATCTCTTCCTGATAGATAATTGCAAAAACATAATCATAACACTTAACTGTATTTGTATGGATAATAAGTAACATAACATATTAACATATTACAACATATCATGGAGATGTGGAGTAGAAACCTTCCAAAGTTGACAGATTTCTGTTGCTTTTAAATCTTGTTTATACCATGAATCCTCTAATGTCCTGCTCATTAACCGCTGTCCAATAACACTAACATTTTAGTCACTTAAACAAACAAGTCAACACCACAAAGTCAACAAACTTACAGTTCGATAATGAAAGCAAGAGTTATCTGCAACATGTAATCCAGCCCAATCTCTATATTTGATTAACTCATCAATCACCTGAGACAATCAACTATCAAGTCAAGAAATACTCCAAATGAAGAAAATTGTGAAATTATTTTATCAAGTTTGTACCTGACTCTCAGGTATGTAGGAAACTAACCAACATCGATGATTCCATGCACGATAATTCATCTTTGACTTCTGTATGTATGATTACAGACAACATTATCAATCAAAAAATGTGGTGTTACTAAAAAAAAAAACAGTTGAAAATATTTCAGTTAGTTGACCTCTGCTATTCTGTTAGCTAAATCAGATTCGTTTTTCAAAATCTCTTCAAGATTTGTACACTTTCCAGCTATCATCTTGATCACCCATCGCCTATCATAAATAGAAAAATGTTATTGAAAGATGGAGGAGAAGATAAATAGAACATCAGAAAGAAAGAAACTTTATTGAGGCTATAAGTAAGAGCTACCTTCCAAAATGTTACCTATGGCTCCATGTACGCTCGCTTTTGGGTGAACATGAAAGAACCAAACTTGAAAGTGAAAGCTCATCAAGATATAGCCTAATGTCTTGTTTGTTTAAGACAACTTCCTTTCTGCAAAGTATAAGAATATAAGAGAAGTCGTCTTTCAGAGATATAAGAAAGAAGAGCAAATGATGTTATGAATCAGGGAAACAGAAAGAGACCTGCAATTCCATGCAGTTCCAAAATCACAACTCAGCAGCAAAAGCGCTCTGCTATGCTTCATTAGTTCGTTTTCAAGAACAGTTAGGGGAGATGAAGTGGCTGAGATATTATCCACTTTCTTTGAATGTAAAGGGATCAACATCTTATATTGTTGTAGTGAAGACATAAATGCATTTTTAGCAGCAGTGTATAATGGGTGGATTGATTCGGTTGAGATGCCCAGTTTGTGATCTTTACTCCAGAAAGCCAAATCAATAGTATTAGCTGGTGAAGTGTCACTCATGGAAGCAAATTGGGATGGATGAACAAACCCCACTTCATCACTGTTTGCAGATGAAAAGTAGAAGATGAAGATACGATATATTAAGCATAAGATTTGGTATAGTAGTAGCACATGTAAAAAACTTACATTAAAGGATCCGATTCGAGAATGGACTCTAATTGATAGAGAAGAGAAGAAGGGTCTGAGTAGCTGGATGGAACTGCTTCACTCATGATTTGAAGGACTAACAGCTTGGCTTGGCTCTAATATTCAGCACGCAGGGGTATTTTTGTCCACAAAAAATGTCTCATATAAGTTTTTAGGAACAAGATTGAACCTCACCCAAAATTGAATATCATTTTCTTAAGTTTCAATCAACGATTCCAACATAAAATTATGAAGATTGAATGATAAGAATACAAAGTGTATTCAGATGCAACGGAATGAAGCTTGAACTATGGAATTATGAACCCTAACAAAATAAGCAACAAAAGAGAGAAGCTATGAACCCTACCAACACAAAGAAAATGAAGTAAGCTTGAACTTTAAACTACATAATGTAATCAGCAGCAATGGATTCTCTCCAGCCGAGAGAACAGGAGCAGGTGATGAGAGACGGAAATAAACAATTATTTCTATGATTTATGGAAAAGATTGACCTAGATAATTTGGGTGTTTGGTCGCAAAGATCGGCCAACATTGATTTGGATCAGGGGTTTTCAACGGGCGGGTATCTCAACGAAATCGAACCTAATTTACAAAAAATAATAATAATAATAATAAAATTAAATTAAATTAAATTAAAATCAAATCCAACCGTAGGAAAACGGATAACTACGGTTCGATTCATGGGTATCCGATAAAATATAAAAAATTAAATTCAATTGAAACTATAAACTTCATTCTAGTTATTTCTTTCTGAAAATTAGTAACCTAAAGAGTCAAAAAAAAACATAATGAATATCAAATATCATACATTATAATTGATATAATAAAAATAACAAAAAAAAAAATTGAATTTAGAACTATATAATTGAAATTGTCCATATAGATTTTTGTTTGGTGTGTGTCAAACGGTCCAGTTCGAATATCTGCAATAATATCGTAACTTATTGAAATCAAAATAAGAGTGTCTAAAATTAAAATAACAGTGTAAAAACAAAAAACAAATAACAATGTCTAAAAACTATTCAAAATAAAAAAATGAAAACAATACCTAATGTCCTAATCTAAATCAGTAACAATAAACAATCAACATGGAATTGATTATTGATTCTCAAAGGCCAAATAACAACAAGTCAACAAACATAAGCATTTGGATTTTGGCAGTCCTAATTTCTAATCCAAGAAATTAAGATTTGAGAGAACAGGAGCATATATATATATATATATATATATATATATATATATTATATATATATATATATATATATATATATATATAAAGAGAGAGAGAGAGAGAGAGAAGAAATGGCGTAAATTTCAAGTTACTGGGGGTCTTGGTAGTGTATGAACATACATGATTGTTGAATTGATTATTGAATACTGATTTCCAAATCACAACTCAACTATAGGACTACATCCTACACGAACAGGAGAATCGTTGAACCGTAAAAGATTGCAAAGAATAAATTTGTTTATGCACTATATTCACTGAACATATACATTAATTTATACATAGTAAATAACAACTGAAACCTAGTTTGGCTCCTGACAAAGGGGAAGTAAAATACACGTGAGAGAGTATCCTAAAGAATAGGTATCACATTCGACTCAATCAGTTTTTATACGTTATTACCCCCTCCCCCCCCCCCCCCCCCCCCCGCGGCAAGCTCAAGTGGGGGTCGAACTTGAAGCTTGTCTCGAAGAAATGCGATGCGATCCTTGGCGAGTGGTTTAGTAAAGACATTTGCAAGCTAGTCAGTGGAGGTGACATAACTAATGCGAAGAGCTTGACTTTCAACCTGTTCTCTGACGAAGTGGAAATCTAGAGAAATATGCTTTGATCTTAAGCTGATGACAAGGTTTTTACACAGGAAGGTGGCACCAATATTGTCACGGAAGATAATTGGTGATTATGGCAGATGAACATGGAGATCTCATAAGAGTTGTTGTATCCAGAGTAGCTCAGCTGTGGCATAAGCTAAAGCACGGTATTCAGCCTCGGTGCTGGAATGAGCGACGACCAGTTGTTTGCGAGATGTACAACTGATGAGATTGGGACCATGAAACACTGCAAAGCCATATTGAGATCGACTGTCGGTCTTGTCAGAAATCCATCTAGAGTCTGAATAAGTTGTGAGAGATGATGTATGGTGTGGTTTGAAGTGAAGACAGTGGTTAATTGTACCATTGAGGTGTCTCAAGATATGTTTTACGGCTTGCCAATGGAGAGTGGTGGGTGCATGCATGAATTGACAAACACGGTTGACAGCAAATGTGATATTGGGACGAGTAATGGTGGTATATTGTAGAGAACCAACAGTTTGCTTGTATAAGCGAGGATCAGAGACTGGGTCACCGGTTTGGGTTAGAGGAAGAGATGGATCAGCTAGTGTTGTGACTAGTTTCGCATCTAGTATCTTGGTGCGAGTGAGAATGTCACGAATGTACTGTGCCTGTGAAAGATGAAGCTCTTGGGCAGATTTGGTGATTTGTACTCCAAGGAAGTAGGTTAGTGTAACATCCCGGAATAGCAAGAGTAGAGTTGAAGGGCTAAAAGTGTAAGTTTTGGAGGGCAACTCGATGAGTCCATGGATGGACTCGGTGAGTAGGGTCGCGACTTTGGTCTCGTGTCAAGTGGCCTACTCGGCGAGTCCAAAGGTGGACTCGGCGAGTAGGTGCTGAGTGGAGAAAACCCTAGTTCTCGGGGTTGAGCTCTATATAAAGAACATTATGTTTCCTCCCCAGCCTCTTTGATTCCCCTTGAGCCCCAGAAACCTTAATTTCGTGGAGGAACACCATTGTTGGGCAAATTGGAGCTTGGAGAAGTGCTAGTTGAAGAAATCTTGAAGGAGAAAAGGCTTGGATCAAAGGGTTTTGCTTGGATTCGAGTTTCATTGCTGTTGGGGCATTCTTTGAAGGTAATATCTCGTTCTTGAGCTGCTATTGTCTAGATTCTTCATTTTTGGGGGTGTTGAGATCACATCTATTGGTGTTTTGGAGTCTAGAGGTTAGATCTGAGGTTGCTACCTCAGATCTGGAATAGAGAAGGGTTGGAATGCCTGAAAGTCCCTGTGATTAAGTATGTAGTGAAGCTATCTTGTCCCAAACCTTAGCCCTAATGTGTATAATGCATAGATCTTCATGGACTCACGTAAAGTTTGCCACTTTACGTGATGGATGGGTTGTAGGAGGCTAGATCTATGTTTTGGATCAATTGCATGGCCTGGAATGCTTCTGTATGGATTCAGACCGGTGGTACTCGGCGAGTCACAAGGGTGGACTCGACGAGTTGCTTGAAGATGAGCTGGAACTCGACGAGTTGGATGAACAACTCGGCGAGTAGGTTGAAGATAGCCTTAGACTCGGCGAGTCTGTTCTTGGACTCGTCGAGTCTTGTCGAAGAGTCCCAATATTTTCTGGTTGAGTCGAGAATCGGTGAGTCAAGGGATGACTCGGTGAGTTGGGTGCGAGTGGACTCAGAGTGGTTGGACTCGGCGAGTCTCGGGGTGACTCGGCGAGTCAGGTCGCGGATTGAGGGAAGTTCTGAGCTTGGGGACTCGGCGAGTCATCGGGTTGACTCGGCGAGTAGAGTCAGTCAGGGGTTGACTTTGACCTTGTCCAAGGGTTGACCAGTTGTCTTCCAGGGGTATTTTGGTAAATAAGGGTATATATTGAGTTGAGTGTTTTGGTGTTCAGTGGAGGAGTTCGTGTCGGAGTTCGGAGCAGCGGGATCTTATCCTTTCAGCCGGCAGTTTCGAGGTGAGCTATCCTCACTATATCAACATGGTCTAAGGCACCAAGGCCGACCCTTTTATCGGATTGAGATCGGGGTATCTATTTGTTATGCTATTGTTTTGATATGTTTGCATCCTGGTAGTTAGGATGGTACTCGTTAGAGACCTGGTTAAGGTCAATATCCTGGTAGATAGGATGATGCTATGCTAGTGACCGGTTAGGTCGGTATTCTGTTAGAGTATGTTGGGTTATGTGATCTGCTATATCGGTTTGCCTGAATATGAACTGTTATGTGGTTGTATGTTTATGTGCACATAGTTGTTTGGACTGGAGTTGGGTTGAGGCGGATCCTGCTTTGTGCTGTAGGCCAAGATACCCAGGGCGGACCGGTTATTCCGAAGGCCCAACGAGCGGTCCGGATAGGCTGTAGGCCCCACGAGGGCGGACCAGACGTGCCGAGGCTCGGAGAGTGGACCAGGCCGACTGAAGGCCCGATGCGGGTGGACCAGTCATATTGTAGACTCAGAAAGTGGACCAGGTGAGTTGAAGGCCCAGTGCGGGCGGACCAACCATACTATAGACTCGAGGGACATGATTGGACCCGAAGGGTGGACCAGGTGGACTGAAGGCCCTGCAAGGCGGACCAGTCCCACAATAGACCCGATATACATGGCTGTTTTGTGATTCGTTATGAGATAGAGTGATATGTGTATGGTATACGTGGTTGGTATTTTGGGGGTATCTCATTAAGCTTTCGGGCTTACAGTTGTGGTTTAATGTTTTTCAGGTTCTTCAGGAGACTGTGGCAAGGCGAAGGCGTGATCGTACCGCTCCTCATGATTTTGTAGTAATGTGATTCTGGGAATACACTAAATGATTTGCATTGAAAACCTTTTTGTAATAATTTAATGAAATCGGGTTGTTTTTGAAAAATTTAAATTTGTTGGATTTTTCGGTTGTTACAGTTAGGTTGCCAAGGTCTTTGAGAGCAAAGGTGTAATTTAGGTCTTGAATGATTTTGTGAATATGGTGAGCGTTGGTGCCTGTAATGATGAGGTCATCAACATACACTAAAATGTAGAAGGTACCAACACAAGATGAATGTACGAACAGGGAAGTGTCGGAGTGACAAGCTCGAAAACCATGTTGAACAAGGTGACGGGGTTGATTGAACCAAGCCCGTGGGGCTTGTTTTAGACCATATAGGGCTTTTTGAAGTTTGCAAACTGCATGTGGGTGAGATAGGCGGTTATGTCATCCAGTCATGGATGTGCGAATAGAAGACAGTGCCATAGTAGGCGTTGTTTTGGTGAGGGGAGGCTCCAATCGGTACAAGCCACTATCAACGTGTCCCTTGAGAATGGGAGTGCTGTGACATCCCCAAAATCTCGGCCAGAAAAGTCCGATTTTCATTTATGCTTTTAAAATAAATTCAGAGTAAATTTTTTTGATTTGAAAGAGTTGTGGAATTTGTTCCCAAAAACAAAACATGATAAAACAATGTTTACCAAAGCATTTCTATAAAAGAAATGTATTTTTCATTATATAATCAAAACTCGGGGTGTCATGTTCGGATATAGACCAATAAGCATAAACGATAACATTACAAGTCATTCAACAAATATATACATATACAGACTTGTAAACAAAACAACTTGATGGTTCATCCATCTTACGCCCTTGCGCCACTTCCTGTAATACAAATAAAACTGAGTGGGTCAGGCTTGGGAGCCTGGTGAGCATATAGGGTTTTCAACCCACAATAAATAATTAAATTAATTATTATCAACCAACAATAACCCAGTTACCCATTCCCGTTATTCTCACTTTATGTCCCTAAAATAACTAACACAAGGGACCTAATCTAAGAATATTTTCATCGGGGTGACAACACATGCTGCGGGGGTTCCTCAGCAATATAAGTCAAATAAGGCAACCATGAGGGGGATG